CCACACATTGTTGACATTTCTGGAAACATGCAGGGCTTCTCTAGGTTGGTTGTAATCTCTTCTCTACTTCACCGACATGCTCCTTAGCATAATGGGCAGTACTTATCGTTTATGCATGCTAGTTAATGTTCTCATTTGCATCCTTCAGAATTTGCCTCTTAGTTCCCTCGAAAAAAGAAGGAAAAGAGATGGCCAGATCCAAAAGTGGGTTGAGCCATATACTGTTATCAGTTCATCACCATTCACCATCTTTAGTTTTATAGATCATATCTTGAGTATGCTAACAAAAAACCGTGTCTTGAAATTTCCCTCGAAAAAAGAAGGAAAAAACATACCACGCCTTCAAATTTCCATCTGCATAGGCATGTTCATTCCAGATTCAGCTTGCATGGTCTCTTACTATCGGATTTGCAAGCTACATGTTCATTAGTCATCTGGGAAGTAGTTTCATATTCTAAGTCGACAAAGAGCACATAAAAAGTGTATTTTGTAGCTAGTGTCATTATTGTATTTTGTTTTCAAGTTATCTTGTTCAAGAGAATTCTTTGGCTAACAGGTTGCGGACCATGAACTATCAAAGGCACTGTGCACTCTAGTAAATACAAGCCTGTTTGCGGTTATATGTAACACTGTTTGGGCATTCTGAAAATAAAGATCGATGGTGACTCTGGTTCAAAGCCACACAAATTGCCATTACAATACTTAAAAGATATCACAAAGAACTTCTCGCGAGTACTTGGCAAAGGTGGTTTCGGTGTGGTATATGAGGTGAGCTTATAGTTTTGCTGAAATTATAGTTGATAGTAAAACCATATATTCATGCTAACAACATAACTTCAACAGGGTGTGCAACCGAATGGGGAAATAGTTGCTGTGAAGAAGCTTTTGAACCCAATGTCGCAAAAGCAATTTGAGAATGAGGTTGATCTTCTGATGAGACTTGAGCATCCAAATATAGTACGATTAGTAGGCTACTGCTATGAAATAGAAAACGAACACTTCCCTCTCAATGGGAAATACGTTTTTGCTGGGAAGGCAGAAAGTTTGCTTTGCCTGGAGTATCTGCCTAATGGAAGTCTTGACGAGTTTCTTTCAGGTACAGTAATTGTGTGATGTCCCGTATTTTTCTTCTTTTCATTCAGTATTTTAATGAATGTGAAAGGATAATATACAATAGATTATTTAAGTCCTTTCATATATTTAAGTCCTTTCATATATTATTTAAGTCCTTTCCCGCAAAAAAAAAGTCCTTTCATATATTATGTATAGCACATCCATGATAGATTCTCAGATAACAATTGACGAAGGCTCTCCTTTTGGTTAAAGATTCAGATAAATCTTCTCGACTTGATTGGCACACACGCTACAAAATTATTGAGGGGACCTGCAGTGGTTTACAGTACCTTCACAAGCAAACTGACGGGCCTATCATTCACTTGGATCTAAAACCCGCTAACTTACTGCTCAATGATGCTTTGGAGCCCAAACTTGCAGACTTTGGTCTGTCACGTCTTCTTGATCAACAAGGAACTGTGTGCACTATGGAAGTTAATGGGACATTGTAAGTGAAATGCTGCATGATAATCTATTTCGTTTAAGTTATCTTAACACTTCAAAGATTATACTATTTTGTTTGCAGAGGATACATGCCCCCAGAATACCTACAAGGTATACTCGGAACTATGTCAGACATATTCAGTCTGGGTGTAATAATCTTGGAGATAGTAACAGGAGAAAGGAAGTACCCAGATAATATTCCTCCTTTGGAGGAATTCATTGAGACTGTAAGTGAAATCCTTTTCACTTGTCAAGATAAGTTTTTTTTTTCTTGAACAGTCCGGGGAAGTACATTTATTATTGTATGAAGATGCTAACAATCATTTTCTGATTCCACAGGAGCTTGAAAAATGGAGAGATACGCTGCAGAAAGCACCAGGGTATACATCCTTAGAGATAGATTGCCTACAAATAAGGAGATGCATTCAGGTAGGTCTAAAATGCATGAATCCTTCACGGGCTAAAAGACCTACAATCACTAAAGTCATCAAGATGCTTCAAGGATTGGGAGGTATGGATTGCAATATTAGCAATGAGGTAACGCCAACGGCAGCCCAGGTACAATCACTGACCGATAACACATGCTTTTTGCCTAAAAGTTTAAATCGTTACTCTGTAGTGGTAGACAGAGAGCCCAGTATTAGGCATATATTACTTTTTGTATGTGTCTTCTTGCTAGTCTACAATAAATGATGTTGGCAATAGCCAGAGAGCCCAGAAGAGTGGTAGTGGTAGACAAAAGAGAAGATACACAATTATCTCGAAATTGTGGAATGAAATATAATTAGGAATAAAACTTGGAGCTAGAATGACATTTGTCAAAGAAACAGATGAATTATATTTCAGTATTTGCATCTAGATCGTGGACTAATGTGGAAGTGCTAACAAGAAGTGGTCTAATTAATCTCTTCAAACAAAGTTGATCATAACATCATTTACTGTATCATTAATGCCAGGAGTTCTTCTGTATATGCAGATTAGGTCCGGCCCAAGAGAGTTGCTTGATATCCACCCCTTGGAGCTCAGCTTTAGCTTGGATTCAGACAAGCAGATCCGTTGCCTCGTAAAGCTAACTAATAAAACAAATGAATGTGTTGCATTTCATTTTAAGGTTACGGGGGTAACAAACAAGTACTGCATTGAACCGGCTGGCAGATTCCTGTTGCCACGGGAGATGACTTATTTAGTTGTAACAATGGAAACGAGAGGGGAGTTGCCGGCATTAGACTTGCAGTGCAATGATCAATTCCTTGTACAAAGCATCATAGTGAGGGAGGATAGAGTGACATCTAAGCCTATCCCTGGACAGACATTCGACAAAATGCCAATCAGTGTGGTGCACAAGGTAAAGTTGGCGGTTATACATGTGCCTGCAGTCATAGTGAGGAAGGATAGAGTGACATCTAAGCCTATCCCTGGACATACTTTTGACAAAATGCCAATCAGTGTGGTGCACAAGGTAAAGTTGCCGGTTATTCATGTGCCTGCAGTCCAAGGAACATTGAATCCGCAGCAGTCTGAAGGCTCTCAGGTAAATTCCTTTGAACAGATTTTTCAAGCCCCTCTGACTCTCCCATAGATTGCGAATAAAATAAAGTATTAGGATGATGATGTCTTGCATTAATTAAGCATGTCATGATCAAATGAGGTAGAAACATGAGATGTAAAAATGAGGGTGTGGTACAGCGGCGAAGACGGAAATACACGAATCTGAAAGTTTCAGTACAACCTTTGCCATCTAAAACCTTCTGAGAGTTTGGCTTCTCCTTGGTGGGAGTGAAGACTTCATGCTTCACTTCAAAACTGAGTGTCTGCTTGGTGAAGTCATGAGTGATTTTCTAAATGGATAGAGCAATGGAAGTGACCTCACATAACCAGTTTTGGCTACAAACAAAAAAATAGCAGATATAGTCCGCAATATGATTCCAACTCATTAGAACATAATTCCATCCCATTATTAGTGTGAAGCTTCTTTACCTTCTGTCTGCATGTCTCCATCACCTCTCTGAAGCAAGCATATCTGCTGCAGTACTCAAAAGTCATTGTATTTGTGCCCAATGACTCTGGCCCTCTTGTTGTAGATGATTGCCTGATGACTCTGTCTCTCTCTCACCTCTTTGAATCTGTTTGTATCTCCAGGGAAAACTTCTAGGAAGACCAAACATTTCTGACAAGGTTTTCCTCCTGCCATTACTATATAACAGAATATTTGTTTTTGTTTAAATCTGTTCTGCGCCCATGTATATCTGATGGACTGATGCTAACCTTTCTGTAGGATAATGAATACACGCTCGTTGAATGTTTGGGAAAAGACCTTGGATATTGTGCGGGAAAGCCCATTGCTGCAGTTCTCATATATAAATGTTTTGTTCAATGGAGAACTTTCGAGTCGCAGACGACCTCATCCTTTGACTGTATTATTCACTTAATTGGGAGTGCACTAGAGGTAGTCTCAAACCTCATTTTTAGCCGTAATATTTGAATACACTGTAAGTGTGAGTGTAGAATACTTACTCGACACCTCTAGTAAAATGTGTACAAAATTTAGTAAAAAAGTGTACACAAAGTAGTATTATAATTCAGGAAAAAAAAACTATCCAAGTCACTAATTTACTACATTGGTAGTAAAACTGTATTCGAAAGATTAATATATTTTGTACACTTCTTACTAGGGGTGTAGAATAAGTTATTCTACTCATGCTTAGTTTAGCTTCCCTTGCACCTTGCCGCTGCTGGAGGAAGCCATGGGCAAAGCCTGCCTGGTGGATGGCGACGTCGGGCTCGCCTCCTTGTGCTGTAGGAGCCCTCACGGCTGGAGCATTGAGGTGTCCCTGGACGCATACGTGTTGGCGTATCTCGGGGTCATTGTTGGAGCACCTCTCCTATTACTTTAGGGTGCCATCATTGCTGGCTGATGCTGATATTTGCTGCAGTTGTTCCATTGATTGCTTTTTTTCTTTCTTTGTTAATACTCTGGTTGTGTGTATGTTAGCTCTTGATATCGTGTTGGTGCAGAGGCAAGGTGTAATTGTATCTTGTTGATATTAATGCATTTCCTTTAGCAGAGACATAAAAAATTACCCCATGTGGCAGGACGGAAAGTCAGACAACTTCATGTGTTTGCAGATGTCCGAGTCTTGTTTGCACCATTTCTGATTTAAGGGAACTGTAAAAACTCAGCAAGTTCGGTTCATTACCTTGCCCACGTTAAGCACTGTAGCACACCTGGCAACATGATGATATGCCTGTTCTATTATCGCCAGTTACTAGTAAATGCGTAAGTGCAATACACGTTGATATTTGGAAGAATATTAATCGCATGATGATATTAGGTAGGATATTGATTGCATGCTAATTATGTTTTTTTGCACACAACATGCTATTTATGTGATTAGCGTTGATATTGATATTTGGTATAACATTTATTGCACAATAAGCATGTTGAGCGCTCGTCATTAGAGCAATCTGTTGGATAATGACCAACTGATATTCACTGAGGGCCAAAGGCCATTACATATACATGTGTGGTAAAGTGCAAGAAACCCCTTATACAATGGGGATGTACCGAAAAGGGAGTATACACATCTAACACCCCCCCCCCCCTCAAACTCATGGTGGATCAACTACACTAAGTTTGGAGAGAAGAAAAGCACGTTGTGCTCGAGTCTCTGCCTTTGTGAAGAAATCCGCCAACTATAACTCAGAGGGCACATAGTGGAGAGCGAGAGTCTGATCCTGCACAGCAACACGCACAAAGTGGGCATCCACACCGATGTGCTTGGTGAGCTCATGCTTCACCGGGTCGCGCGCAATACTGATAGCACAAGTACTGTCTGACAGTAAGGGAGTCGAGGTAGTAGCAGACACACCAAAATCTTCAAGTAACCACCGTAACCAGATCACCTCAGCCGTCAACATAGCCATGGCTCGCAACTCAGCCTCTGTACTCAAGCAAGAAACTGCAGTCTATTTCTTTGTCTTCCAGGCAATAAGAGAGCCACCAAGAAAGACACAGTAAGCATACATCGAGCGTTGATCAGAGGCATCACTAGCCCAGGTAGCATCAGAGTAGGCCTGGAGCTCAAGAGAGCTTGAACGGGGAAAGAAAAGGCACTGAGAGATCGTGCCAAGAAGATATCGTGGAACACGGAGGAGGTGACTATAGTGGACAGAGGTGGGGACGGAAACAAACTGACTCAGGATGTGGATAGGATAGGAGATGTCAGGACGCATAACAGCAAGATAGACAAGGCTGCCAACAAGGTGACGATAGCGAGTGGGATTAGGAAGAGGGTCACCATCAGAGGCACGAAGCTGAATGTTGAGCTCCATAGGAGTCACAACTGTGCGCTCATCACCGAGAGCAGCGCAAGCAAGAAGATCCTGAATATATTTTTCTTGGGAGATGTAGAAGCCATCAGGGGTCGAGGAGATCTCAATCCCAAGAAAATAGCGAAGTGGTCCAAACTGGTCGCGAAGGCGAGCCTTAACAAAGGCAATGTAGTCAGAGTCGTCACCAATGATGATCATGTCATCAACATAGAGAAGGAGAAGAGTCCGACCATGAGGAGGCGTGTGAACAAACAACGCGGGATCATGATCACTGGGCGAGAAACCAGCGGCAGTCACCACAGAGGCGAAACGCTCAAACCAGGCGCGACAGGCCTGTTTAAGACCATAGAGGGAGCGGCGAAGTCTACAGACCATACCATCAGGAGCATAGTACCCCGATGGTGGCTGCATATAAACCTCCTCACGCAACTCGCCATTGAGAAAGGCGTTCTGGACATCAAGTTGAGAGATAGACCAATGACGAACAGAAGCCACAACAAGGAGAGTGCGGACAGTGGTCATGTGGGCCATAGGAGCGAATGTCTCATCATAATCGCGTCCCTGCTCCTGCTGAAAACCACGGGCCACAAGACGAGCTTTGTAGCGCTCAAGAGAACCATCAGAGTGAGTCTTAACCTTGTAGACCCACTTGCAGGTGATGGGACGAACACCGGAAGGGAGGAAAACCAGATCCCATGTGCCAGAGCGCTCAAGGGCAGCAAGCTCTTCGGCCATCGCAAGCTTCCATTCAGGCTGAGTCATGGCAGTCCGATAGGAAGTGGGCTCAACAATAACAGAGAGACCGTACCGATCAGGAGAATAGCGATCAGGCGGGGGGCGAGGCCGAGCACGGAGATTGTGAACCGGGAGAGGCGTGAGCGGAGGTGCACCAGGGGTGGAAGGCGCGTCAGGCAAATCAGGGGAAGCATCCTCAATACGAGGGCGGTGAGTATAGTGGAGAGCAAACGGTGAGAGAGGGCGACGGACTGGAGATGATGGTGGAGAGGTGGAGCTGGAGGATGGAGAAGAGGGGGTCGGTGGTGAAGGAGAAGGAATGAGAGGTGCCGGTGGAGGTGAAACATGAGGCACATAACAGGGTGTATTGGGAAGAAGAAGAAAGGAAAGATCATCCACAGAGAAGCTCGAGGAAGAAGGACGTGGGTAGTAAGAATGAGACTCGTCAAAAGTCACATCACGCGAGATGCGTAAGTGACGACCAACAGAATCCCAGCAGCAATAGCCCTTGTGCTCATCACTGTAGCCAAGGAAAACACACTCAACCGACTGAGCAGTCAGTTTGGTTCGTTCTCGCGGGGCAAGAAGGACATAGCACACACATCCAAACATACGAAGAGCTGAGTAGTCAGGAGAACGACCAGTGAGACACTCCATAGGAACACCACCCTGTAGAGCAGTCGATGGCTGAATGTTGATGAGATGGGTGGATGTAGAAATAGCCTCAGCCCAAAAGTGGAGTGGAAGGGAAGCGGCAATCATCAGCGCACGAGCCGTCTCAAGCAGACGACGATGCTTACGTTCAGCAACGCCATTCTGAGCATGAGCACCAGGACATGAGAACTGGGCAAGAGTACCCTGTTCGGCGAGAAAACCACGCAACAGCTGGGAGATATACTCTCCAGCGGAGTCAACACGAAAAGTACGGATGGGTGTGGAAAACTAGGTGTGAACCATGGCAGCAAATCGTTTGTATATAGAGAAAATCTCACTACGAGATCTCATGAAGTAGAGCCAAGTGTAGCGAGAGAAATCATCAATAAACAAAACATAGTAGCGATGACCACCTTTCGAATCAAAGGGAGCAGGACCCCAGACATCAGAATGAACTAAGTCAAAAGGACGTTGAGAGACCGACTCACTGGTAGGATAAGGTAACTGGGTCTGTTTGCCAAGTCTACAACCATTACAATGTAAAGAAACATCTCCAGATACAGACCCTAAGAGGCCCTGACGCACTAAAGATGACAAGCGAGAGCCACATAGGTGACCAAGGCGATGATGCCACTGCTGGAAGGACGCAGACGAAGAGGCAGCAAGAGCATGAGAGCTGGCAGAAGTGGTGGTAGCAGAAGGAACACAAAGCCAGTCAACCTCCCAAAGGCCCTCTGACTCACGGCGCCGGGGGCCAGCACCAACCAAAGCCTTAGTGCGACGATCCTGAATGGAGCAAGAGTCGGTATCAAGAATGACACGACAACCAGAATCAGTAAGTTGGGCAGCGGAAAAAAGATTCATGGTAAGGCGAAGAACATGAGAAACACTAGGAATAGAAGAAGTTGGAGTGGAAAGAAGACCACGACTAGCAACAGGAAGGGATGTGCCATCGCCAGTAAGAACATTAATAGGAGAATCAAGAGGGCGAAGAGAAGACAACACTGAAGAATCAGAGGACATATGAAAGGAAGCTCCAGAGTCCAGAACCCACGAAGATGTACCTGACGGTGTAGATGCCGGCGGGGATGAAGTGGTGAAAGCAGTCACAGCAGCAGCAGAGCCCGTCGATGAAGAACCGGAGGAGGCCAGAAGGCGCTTGAGGCGCACAATGTCCTGGTCAGTGAGTGACGGAGTCGATGACGACACAGGAGTCCCACTGGAAGAGGAGCGCCTCTGGTTTCGCTACTTCTGACGACAATCAGACTCTGGGTGACTTGGCCTGGAGCAGTAGTCACAGAAGGTGTCACGGCGCGACCGGCCCTTCTCAACATAAGGAGGGCGACCCACCCCCCCTGAAGGTGTGGGCAGGAGCGGTGGAGCTGTGAGGCGAGCAGACGACACCGGAGCTCTGGCTGCCAACACTGAAGGAACCGCAAGCAACCCAGCAGAACGAAGGCGGGTCTCCTCAGCACGAAGCTCGGCAAGGACCTCCGAGATAGGAACACGACCACGAGCAAGCAAGTGAGCACGTCGAGGCTCAAACTCGGAGCGGAGGCGAGATAAGAACTCATGGACACGCTGAAACTCCAAGTCGGACCGCATTCTCTGGCAGCAGTGGCAAGATCCACAAACAATTGTCTGAAGAAAGTCAAGCTGGCGCCAGATGGCAGAACTCTGCGTGTAGAACTCGTCAACAGAGGAGTCGCCCTGTTGAAGAGCGTGCTCATGACGCACCACAGATAAGTAGAGAGCATCACCAGATGGCTGATAGCGCTGACAAAGATAAGACCACATCGCGGCCACGGTGCCCAGACCCATGAACTCCGAGGCAAACTGAGGGAGGACACTCGCAGTGAGAACAGCAGCAGCACGAGCATCATCATTGCACCACTGAGTGTAAGCAGACAGATCATCGCGGTAGACGGAAAGAGCATCGGAATAAGCTGATACCTGCTGATCATAAGCATCAACCGCAGCATCATCAAGCGCCTTGGCTGCATCCCGATCAGCCTGAGAAGCATCAGCAGCAAGAACTGGCGATACCGGCGAGGTAGGTGCAATAGGAGCAACAGGGCATGGCGGACAGGGGACCTCGCCAGATAGAACACCCCACAGCAGAAGACCGCGCATATGGATACGCATGAAACCCGCAAACTCAACATAGTTGGTGCCATCGAAGATCACTGAGCACCTAGGAATAACGACATAGCCTGAAGCATGAGGAGCCTTTTTTTGGTCAACAGATCCAAAAATTGGATCGGGATCGAGCAGGAGACTCACGCGCCCCTGATTCTGGATCGGGCAGGGGGCAAGCTCGCTCGAGCCGAAGCAGGCAAGCGGAAGCAGAGCCCCCGAGCGGGAGCGGCCAAGCCGGGTCCCGATCGAAGATGCAACCAAGCCGGGGATGGGTCTGGGGCGGCGGCGCCCGGACGAGACAAGGACAGCGGCGGCGGCCGAACGAGCTAGAAGCGGCAGCGGCGGCTATACGAGCCCGGGGCAGTGGACGGAGAGGAGGCGCGGGCGGCTGGACGCGGAGGAGGTGGGGGCGGGTATGACAGTGACCGGCGGAGAGGAGGCGGGCCGGGAGCGACCACACACTCGCTCGGTGCAGCGGCGTGATGAAGAGGAGGCAGACCGGGAGCGAAGAGGAAACGGCCGGAGATGGCCAGCGGCGGCTGGAGACTAGGTACGAGGCGCACTGAGTTGCATCGTGCGGGAGGAAGGGGCTAACCTAACATCTGATACCATATTGGATAATGAGCAACTGATATTCGCTGAGGGCCAAAGGCCATTACATATACATGTGTGGTAAAGTGCAAGAAACCCCTTATACAATGGGGATGTATTGAAAAGGGACTATACACATCTAACACAATCTAGGTCGTTGGATTAACATGGACTGATGACTGAGATTAGCTGGATCTGCCCCTTTGGGTCTTTTTATATTGGTATATAGATATAAATATGAATATAGATATAGATGCTGCAATCTTGTTCTGACCAATCTCTTTTAATACCAACGGAATCCATGATGCTTTCCCTTTGGCAAAACATGTCCCGTCTTTTTCCTCAATTAATGAATACACCCCGAAGGACTAATTTAACCTTCGCTGTTTCTGCTTTGTTATTAAAACATGATAATCAGTTGCACGAGATATCACTAGGAGATTATGCTGTGTAGTATTGCTGTTTAATTACATCTACTTCTTTAGTTTCTACAGGACCAGGATAATAACGAAACAGCTGCATATTGGCTCTCCAATTCATTCGCATTACTCCTACTTATGAAACGGACATCCAAATCAAGTGCAGCAGCTCCTCAGAGACAACGGTTCATGGTAACACATCTTTCCTCTTTCCAGTTTCTTACTCTCGTTTATTTCGCTGAAGACATGTCTGTTCATTGTTTTTGAAAACATAAGAGAACTGGAGATTCACCACAAAGCAGTGTATTTGGTAGGATCGAAAAGAGCAATCTCCAGCAAGCTATTGAAGCCCATCCGGCTCTGCTTTTCAAGCAACAGCTTACAGCTTACCTTGAGAAGACGTATCGAATGATAAGAGACAATTTGAAGAGAGAGATATCTCCATTTCTTGATCATTGCATTCAGGTATGAAGAAATTGTACTAGAAATTATTTGATGTATAAAATAAAGGTGAGCCTTAAGGTTTTGTTTTACCGACACTTTTCTTTGCAGGCACCGAGAACAGCTCGCATAAGTCAGATTCATGGAGCTTCTGTGGCAAACGTCTTGGCCCAGCAGATTGGCCATTGGCAGAGTATTGTGAAAATAATAACAAACTACCTGGGTGTTTTGAAATCCAATCATGTATGTAACCTAAGCATGAATGAGTTATTGCATAATGTTCTTAAGTAATGATGTGCACTGACATGTGCTCTATTGATATTGTACAGGTTCCTTCATTCTTAATCTGCAAGATGTTCGGTCAAATATTTTCATTCATTAATGTCCAGTTGTTCATGAGGTAAAATTTAATTGTTCCCGAGCTCTGTGCTTCATTGTACTTTCCCCCTTAAGGCTCCTATGATACTCTGTATCTTGTAGTCTGCTTCTCCGACGAGCGTGCTGTTCATTTAGCCACGGAGAATATGTCAAGGCTGGATTGGCAGAGTTAGAACAGTGGATCATTGATGCGACTGAAAAGGTATGGATGAATTTTTTCCAGACATTTTAATCTGTATGCTAATGATATGGTACACATAGTATGCAGGCTGTTCCTGGGAAGAACTGTAGCCCATTAGGCAGGCTGTTGAATTCCTTGTAAGTGCCGGTGCTGTCCGAGTGATGGGGTGTTTGATTTGCAATTTTATGGGTAAAAATTGGATAATCTAACGAATATTAAAGGGCAGCCCGGTGCATGTAGCTCCCGCTTGCGCAGGGTCGGGGAAGGGTCCGACCACTTTGGGTCTATAGTACGCAGCCTTTCCCTACATTTCTGTAAGAGGCTGTTTCCAGGACTTGAACCCGTGACCTCATGGTCACAAGGCAGCAGCTTTACCACTGCGCCAAGGCTCCCCTTCAATCTAACGAATATTAGCATTAGGTTATTATTGAAAAGCCAAAGAAAACACTGGAAGAGATCACCAACGATTTGTGCCCTGTAAGTGGTATTTGAACTCAGTTAAGTTTAGTCACTCATCGACACCTATTGGACAACTTATCACTCGTTTTACAAACTTTCAGGTCCTTAGCATAGCACAGATATACCGTATCAGTACAATGTATTGGGATGATAAATTTGGCACCCAGACAGTTTCGTCAGAGGTAGCCTGTTCTAGTTAGTAAATTACCAGTCTGTTCAAGTTTCACATATTTCTGACAAAAGAAAACAAACTGCAGGTAATCACAAGTATGAAAACAATTATGACTGAAGAATCAGAAAATGGAGTGGTCGTTCCTTTCTTATTTGATGATGACGAAAGGTTTATTTCCCTCTTCCATGTTCAACAAGTCACTGTTTCCTTAAAGCTTGCTCACAAATGTTTATTGTTCACGGCACGTCTCATTGCAGCATTCCATTTTCGCTGCAAGACCTTCAGAAGTGTGCGCGGGTATTCGAGGTAACTGATGTTGATATGCCGCCTTTGGTCCTGGAGTATCCTTGCTTTAACTTCCTACACAAAACAAAGGACAAACTGGACGGCCCGGCCCTCCAAAGTTAAAAATGCCTCTTGTTCTCTTCCAAATGTAATGTGTCCAAGGAAATCGCCGTTCATACATCATTGTCTTGTGAACTGCAAAGATCATAGTTGGAATAAGTTGCAGCGACAATTGTGTTGTTGGCGAGTTATTTGTTTCATTCAATGCACACGCTGTTCACCCAATCGAGAATGTTTGTAACCAAGACAAAATTATATTTCATCCGCCTAGGGTAAAAATAGGTTCCTTCTGGAGTAGTAACTTTGTTGTTCTACTCAGTGTTCCGTAGCACTAGATGGTTATGCACTTTCCAACCAAGTCATACTTGGAAATCTGCTGTTCATGAAAATATGAGCCCACCACCAAAGAGGAGGTGGACTGCATCTCCGACGAGGACACCCGGCATATATCTTGCTACAATACAATGCCGCGAGCTGATACTGTTCACATGAAAAATGCCACGAGCCCAGGAATCGATGCTGTTCCCAAGAGAATGACCAAACACATTTGATCTGGAAACTGAATCTTTGTTTTAGACACAGATCGTCTTAATTTATGTTTGTCGAACTTTCTTCGTGTATGTAGTTTTGTAAGCTAACCTGCTCATCCCTTCATCAGTGTTTGTTGTTCGATTTCTGGATGAAAAGAAACAAGTGCAACTGCATGGAATCAGGGCCGCGTTTAGGTATTGCTTATTATAGTGATCCGAGCGTAGGGTCGCCTGCAGCGCTCCCCTAAATGGGCCGGGCCAGCGCGGGAGGAGCGCTGGTTCGCTAGTGCATGTTTTTTTTATTACTTATACTTTTATTCCTTTATTTATCTCAAAAAAACTTATACTCCTTTATTGTCTACTAGTCCTTTAATGGAAAAAATACTTAATTTTAAAAGCGTTCATCATTCATTTGGAAAATCTTAAGAGCATCTACAACCAGACCCTTCATATCCGTCTCAAACGCCCGGACGGGCTGGCCGGTCAGTGTCTGGACGTAAAAACACCACCCAATCGGTCTCCCCATAGCCGGCCCAAACGCCTGGACTGACGAGCACTACCCATATCCAACCCAAATCTGAAGCGGACATGGGACGCCCGGGCATGCCCGCCACGTCAGATTCGACCCATGCTAGCCCACCCAACCCCACAAAAAATGGACCCTATCTGCACCTCCAGCCGAAACCCTAGCCGCATTCCACTTTCCTCCCATGCAATCCACTCCCTCTGCCCACAAGTCCCCGCTCGGCAATCTTCTACCCTCTTCGGCATTGCGGACAGCGGATCCGAGTCCTACACCTTCAGATATGTTGATCTCGAACTCATCCCACGTGGCCCCGAGGAGGAGATGACCAACCACCTTGCGCCATGATACGTCTCCAACGTATCTATAATTTTTGATTGTTCCATGCTATATTATATTCTGTTTTGGACATTATTGGGTTTTATTATACACTTTTATATTATTTTTGGGACTAACCTATTAACCGGAGGCCCAACCCAGAATTGCTGTTTTTTTGCCTATTTCAGAGTTTCGCAGAAAAAGAAAATATCAAACGGAGTCCAAACGGAATGAAACCTTCAGGAACGTGATTTTTGGAACGAACGTGATCCAGAGGACTTGGACCCTACGTCAAGAAAGCAACTAGGAAGGCACGAGATAGGGGGCGCGCCTACCCCCCCAAGCGCGCCCTCCACCCTCGTGGGGCCCATGTTGCTCCACTGACGTACTTCTTCCTCCTATATATACCTACGTACCCCCAAACTACCTGATACGGAGGCAAAACCCCAATTCCACCGCCGCAACCTTCTGTACCTGTGAGATCCCATCTTGGGACCTTTTTCGGAGCTCCGTCGGAGGGGGCATCAATCACGGAGGGCTTCTACATCAACACCATAGCCTCTCCGATGATGTGTGGGTAGTTTACCTCAGACCTTCGGGTCCATAGTTATTAGCTAGATGGCTTCTTCTCTCTTTTTGGATATCAATACAATGTTCTCCCCCTCTCTTGTGGAGATCTATTCGATGTAATCTTCTTTTGCGGTGTGTTTGTTGAGACCGATGAATTGTGGGTTTATGACCAAGTTTATCTATGAACATATTTGAATCTTCTCTGAATTCTTTTATGTATGATTGGTTATATTTTGCAAGTCTCTTCAAATTATCAGTTTGGTTTGGCCTACTAGATTGATCTTTCTTGCAATGGGAGAAGTGCTTAGCTTTGGGTTCAATCTTGCGGTGTCCTTTCCCAGTGATAGTAGGGGCAGGAAGGCACGTATTGTATTGTTGTCATCGAGGATAACAAGATGGGGTTTATATAATATTGCATGAGTTTATCCCTCTACATCATGTCATCTTGCTTAAAGCGTTACTCTGTTCTTTTGAACTTAATACTCTAGATGCATGATGGATAGCGGTCGATGTGTGGAGTAATAGTAGTAGATGCAGGCAGGAGTCGGTCTACTTGTCTCGGACGTGATGCCTATATACATGATCATACCTAGATATTCTCATAACTATGCTCAATTCTGTCAATTGTTCAACAATAATTTGTTTACCCACCGTAATACTTATGCTCTCGAGAGAAGCCACTAGTAAAACCTATGGCCCCCGGGTCTATTTTCTATCATATTAATCTTCCATCAACAAGCTATTTCTTGCATCATTTTTATTTTGCTTTATTTACTTTGCATCTTTATCATAAAAATACCAAAAATATTATCTTATCATATCTATCAGATCTCACTTTCGTAAGTGACCGTGAAGGGATTGACAACCCCTTTATTGCGTTGGTTGCGAGGATTTTATTTGTTTGTGTAGGTGCGAGGGACTCGTGCGTGGCCTCCTACTGGATTGATACCTTGGTTCTCAAAAACTGAGAGAAATACTTATGTTACTTTGCTGCATCACCCTTTCCTCTTCAAGGGAAAACCAACGCAGTGCTCAAGAGGTAGCAAGAAGGATTTCTGGCACCGTTGCCGGGGAGTCTACGCAAAAGTCAACATACCAAGTACCCATCACAAACCCTTATCTCCCGCATTACATTATTTGCCATTTGCCTCTCGTTTTATTCTCCCCCACTTCACCCTTGCCGTTTTATTTGCCCTCTCTCTCCGTCCTCCTTCTCTTTCCCTTTTTGCCTCCTTTTGCCCGTTTCTTGTTTGCTTGTGTGTTGGATCGCTTGCTTGTCGTTATGGCTAGTCCCCTATCTTCTCCGTTGTCTCCCGAAAATAAAGTTCTTAATTTTAAGCAAAGGGAAGGAGAAAATCTAAAAGTCGCTTGGTATAGAATTTGCAATGCTCAAAATAGATCTACTAGGAAGCAATCTACTTCCGTTCTTCTCCGCAATTTTTATGTAGGCGCTACTCCTTGGCATAGATATATCCTTGATACCATTACCGGAGGGAATTTCTTGGGTAGCCATACTTTTGATTCTTATAATGCTATGATAGATTTGTTTGGCTCACCCCCTCTTTTGGTTAATGGAACTATGTTAACTTTGGAGCATGTAACACAAAGACTTGAAATTATTAAAAATAAAGTTGCTACCGTAGTGTTAATTGAAAATTTGGATAAAAAGATCCAAAACCAAATTACCCAGTATGGATCTAAAGTAGGAGTCACTTTGAAAAATATTAAGGAGAAGGAACCCATAGTTAATGAAAGAATAAATCAGGATTCCACTAGAATCGATAAACTTGAGGGTATCATTACCAACTTGGGAACCGCCTTTTCTTTCGTAAAGAATACTCCAAGTCCTCCAACTAAAATTGCCAAGCTTATGTATGTTCCTAAAAATAAGGGTGAATCCTCTAGCAAGGAAATTGCGGATCTCAAATCTATAAGTATTCATCCCAATCTTTTTGCTATCATTAAGGAACCATTTGCTACAAATGATTTTTTCGATTTGTGCCTAGAAGTTTGATAATTAATAAAAAGGAAGAAACTCCTAAGGGTGATAGATGTCTCATTAAAGAATTGCCAACCAAAAATGGCAATACCTAGATCTATCTTCGCTTTTATGCCTAGCTAGGGGCGTTAAACGATAGCGCTTGTTGGGAGGCAACCCAATTTTATTTTTATTCCTTGCTTTTTGCTCATGTTTAGTAATAAATAATTTATCTAGCCTCTGTTTTTGTTGTGTTTTTTGTGTTTAATTAGTGTTTGTGCCAAGTAGAACCGTTGGGAAGACTTGGGGAAAGTCCTTTTGATCTTGCTGTAAAAAACAGAAACTTTAGCGCTCACGAGAATTGCTGCCATTTTTATTTGGAAAGTGATATTTAGTTAATTATTTTTGAAGATGATTAATAGATAAATACCTCACGTCAATCAGTTTATTTTAGAATTTTTGGGGTTCCAGAAGTTTGCGTTAGCTACAGATTACTACAGACTATTCTGTTTTTGACAGATTCTGTTTTTCGTGTGTTGTTTGCTTATTTTGATGAATCTATGGCTAGTAAAATAGTTTATAAACCATAGAGAAGTTGGAATACAGTAGGTTTAACACCAATATAAATAAATAATGAGTTCATTAAAGTACCTTGAAGTGGTGTTTTGTTTTCTTTCGCTAACGGAGCTCACGGGATTTTCTATTTTGAGTTTTGTGTTGTGAAGTTTTCAAATTTTGGGTAAAAGATTTGATGGATTATGGAACAAGGAGTGGCAAGAGCCTAAGCTTGGGGATGCCCATGGCACCCCAAGATAATCTAAGGACACCTAAAATCCAAAGCTTGGGGATGCCCCGGAAGGCATCCCCTCTTTCGTCTACTTTCATCGGTAACTTTACTTGGAGCTATATTTTTATTCACCACATGATATGTGTTTTGCTTGGAGAGTCTTGTATTATTTGAGTCTTTATTTGTTAGGTTGCCACAATCATCTTTGCTGTACACACCTTTTGAGAGAAACACACATGATTTGAAAATTATTAGAATACTCTATGTGCTTCACTTATATCTTTTGAGTTATATAGTTTTTGCTCTGGTACTTCACTTATATCTTTTGGAGCACTGTGGTGGATTTGTTTTATAGAA